CATGTCATATATATATATATATATATATATATATATATTTCTTCTGTTTTACTTGAAATAAAACATGTATAATTTTAAGATTTCTAATTTATTCAGATTAACATATATTAAAATTAATACAACAATTCGTTTTTTAACAATATCTGTTGATGAGTTGTTACTAAAAATATATTTTTTTAAATAATAAATATATAAATAAAAATAAACAAAGTGTAAGTATGCAATTTAATATTAAAATAAATCCATAATAATATTAAAATAAATACAATTTAGATATTTTTAATTGCTTAATTTTTTCATTTCCTTATCAATTTTTACTATTGATTTTTTTTACATTTTCTCTACATTCAAATGCATGTGAACATTTATGTACATATTCAGTATATGTCCTCTGAATGGTTTAAAAACACAGAAGACAGCACATTAGTTTAGAACTCTTCTAATTTTAATTTTTTAAATGTAGAAAGTGTGTTGATTTGTGCAATGATAACCTACCAGCAATGTAAAGATGATTATTTATATATTAGTAAGAGTGCATTACAATATAAATGTATTAGAACGAGTACATAATTATTTATGGGCTTAAAAACAAGATGCAAACACTCAGAATATTGTACCTGGTGGGGAGTGCCCAATGTAAACTGCAAATGTTTATTATTATCTTAAATATCTTAAAGTCACAAAGAGCAGCTGCTTAATTTAAAGTCATGCCTAAGATAATAATATCTTTATTTTATACATCTTGTATATAGTATATAATATCTGTAGTCCTGTGTCTTATTTGTAATTGTGTCTTGTTTACCATTACACTTTTTCCAAACTAAACGTGCTTAAACTTGCTTACAATACCGTCTTAAATCATATTTCTATCACTGACGGAAAAAAAAACAAAAAAGCCGTTTGGAATTCGCCCGATAAAACCAACTAAATACACCTAAACTGAAGGTATATCTTCTAAACAATGATCAACCCACAGCCGAGCAGAAATAGATCTGAAGTTCATAAGAGGTCACAGAGGTCAAAGGTCACACTCTGACCTCACACACATTCCGTTCTCGTCTGTGTCTGATTACACGCACTTCTCTAGTGTACAGTAAGTGAACCGCACTGATGAGATTCTGCAGATCACACACTTCAGCTGCGTTTCTACTCAACACAAACACGGGCGGAAAATCCGGTTTAACAGAGGACAGAGACAGAAGAGCAGGAGTGGAAACTGACGAGTGGACGAGGGAAGGTCAGACGCACATGAGTCACATGACTCACGTCACCATAGCAACAGCAGCTTCCTGAACAGACCAGAATAAACACTGCCATTATGAACCGCTCCATTACATACAGCAAGAGAAAGTGTTGGGTTTCAGCGTGTGTGAGACCGACGGACTGAGGAAGAAGCGCCAAAAGGGATATTATAATTAACTAAAACTAGTGCTGTCAAACGATTAATCGCATCCAAAATAAAAGTTTTTGTTTACATAATATATGTGTGTGTTGTGTGTATATTTATTATGTATATATAAATACACACACATGCATGTATATATTTCAGGAAAAATGTTGTTTATATATTAAATATATTTATATATGATATAAATTATATTAATATAAATGTATATGCATGTAAATATTTTCAAAATATATGCTTTATGCATGTGTATTTATATAAACATAATAAATATACACAATACACACACATATATTATGTAAACAAAAACTTTTAATATATTTCAGGAAAAATGTTGTTTATATATTAAATATATTTATATATGATATAAATTATATTAATATAAATATAGACGTAAATATTTTCAAAATATATACTGTATGTGTGTGTATTTATATATACATAATAAATATACACAGAACACACACATATACTGTGTAAAGCAGACACAATACTCTGGCGTACAGTAAAGAAGGGCACAATACTATGGCGTACAGTAAAGAAGGGCACAATACTCTGGCATACTACAGTAAAGCAGGGCACAATACTCTTGCGTACTACAGTAAAGAAGGGCATAATACTCTGGCGTACAGTAAAGAAGGGCACAATACTATGGCGTACTACAGTAAAGAAGGGCATAATACTCTGGCGTACAGTAAAGCAGGGCACTATACTCTGGCGTACAGTAAAGCAGGGCACTATACTCTGGCGTACAGTAAAGCAGGGCACTATACTCTGGCGTACAGTAAAGCAGGGCACTATACTCTGGCGTACAGTAAAGCAGGGCACTATACTCTGGCGTACAGTAAAGCAGGGCACTATACTCTGGCGTACAGTAAAGCAGGGCACTATACTCTGGCGTACAGTAAAGCAGGGCACTATACTCTGGCGTACAGTAAAGCAGGGCACTATACTCTGGCGTACAGTAAAGCAGGGCACTATACTCTGGCGTACAGTAAAGCAGGGCACTATACTCTGGCGTACAGTAAAGCAGGGCACTATACTCTGGCGTACAGTAAAGCAGGGCACTATACTCTGGCGTACAGTAAAGCAGGGCACTATACTCTGGCGTACAGTAAAGCAGGGCACTATACTCTGGCGTACAGTAAAGCAGGGCACTATACTCTGGCGTACAGTAAAGCAGGGCACTATACTCTGGCGTACAGTAAAGCAGGGCACTATACTCTGGCGTACAGTAAAGCAGGGCACTATACTCTGGCGTACAGTAAAGCAGGGCACTATACTCTGGCGTACAGTAAAGCAGGGCACTATACTCTGGCGTACAGTAAAGCAGGGCACTATACTCTGGCGTACAGTAAAGCAGGGCACTATACTCTGGCGTACAGTAAAGCAGGGCACTATACTCTGGCGTACAGTAAAGCAGGGCACTATACTCTGGCGTACAGTAAAGCAGGGCACTATACTCTGGCGTACAGTAAAGCAGGGCACTATACTCTGGCGTACAGTAAAGCAGGGCACTATACTCTGGCGTACAGTAAAGCAGGGCACTATACTCTGGCGTACAGTAAAGCAGGGCACTATACTCTGGCGTACAGTAAAGCAGGGCACTATACTCTGGCGTACAGTAAAGCAGGGCACTATACTCTGGCGTACAGTAAAGCAGGGCACTATACTCTGGCGTACAGTAAAGCAGGGCACTATACTCTGGCGTACAGTAAAGCAGGGCACTATACTCTGGCGTACAGTAAAGCAGGGCACTATACTCTGGCGTACAGTAAAGCAGGGCACTATACTCTGGCGTACAGTAAAGCAGGGCACTATACTCTGGCGTACAGTAAAGCAGGGCACTATACTCTGGCGTACAGTAAAGCAGGGCACTATACTCTGGCGTACAGTAAAGCAGGGCACTATACTCTGGCGTACAGTAAAGCAGGGCACTATACTCTGGCGTACAGTAAAGCAGGGCACTATACTCTGGCGTACAGTAAAGCAGGGCACTATACTCTGGCGTACAGTAAAGCAGGGCACTATACTCTGGCGTACAGTAAAGCAGGGCACTATACTCTGGCGTACAGTAAAGCAGGGCACTATACTCTGGCGTACAGTAAAGCAGGGCACTATACTCTGGCGTACAGTAAAGCAGGGCACTATACTCTGGCGTACAGTAAAGCAGGGCACTATACTCTGGCGTACAGTAAAGCAGGGCACTATACTCTGGCGTACAGTAAAGCAGGGCACTATACTCTGGCGTACAGTAAAGCAGGGCACTATACTCTGGCGTACAGTAAAGCAGGGCACTATACTCTGGCGTACAGTAAAGCAGGGCACTATACTCTGGCGTACAGTAAAGCAGGGCACTATACTCTGGCGTACAGTAAAGCAGGGCACTATACTCTGGCGTACAGTAAAGCAGGGCACTATACTCTGGCGTACAGTAAAGCAGGGCACTATACTCTGGCGTACAGTAAAGCAGGGCACTATACTCTGGCGTACAGTAAAGCAGGGCACTATACTCTGGCGTACAGTAAAGCAGGGCACTATACTCTGGCGTACAGTAAAGCAGGGCACTATACTCTGGCGTACAGTAAAGCAGGGCACTATACTCTGGCGTACAGTAAAGCAGGGCACTATACTCTGGCGTACAGTAAAGCAGGGCACTATACTCTGGCGTACAGTAAAGCAGGGCACTATACTCTGGCGTACAGTAAAGCAGGGCACTATACTCTGGCGTACAGTAAAGCAGGGCACTATACTCTGGCGTACAGTAAAGCAGGGCACTATACTCTGGCGTACAGTAAAGCAGGGCACTATACTCTGGCGTACAGTAAAGCAGGGCACTATACTCTGGCGTACAGTAAAGCAGGGCACTATACTCTGGCGTACAGTAAAGCAGGGCACTATACTCTGGCGTACAGTAAAGCAGGGCACTATACTCTGGCGTACAGTAAAGCAGGGCACTATACTCTGGCGTACAGTAAAGCAGGGCACTATACTCTGGCGTACAGTAAAGCAGGGCACTATACTCTGGCGTACAGTAAAGCAGGGCACTATACTCTGGCGTACAGTAAAGCAGGGCACTATACTCTGGCGTACAGTAAAGCAGGGCACTATACTCTGGCGTACAGTAAAGCAGGGCACTATACTCTGGCGTACAGTAAAGCAGGGCACTATACTCTGGCGTACAGTAAAGCAGGGCACTATACTCTGGCGTACAGTAAAGCAGGGCACTATACTCTGGCGTACAGTAAAGCAGGGCACTATACTCTGGCGTACAGTAAAGCAGGGCACTATACTCTGGCGTACAGTAAAGCAGGGCACTATACTCTGGCGTACAGTAAAGCAGGGCACTATACTCTGGCGTACAGTAAAGCAGGGCACTATACTCTGGCGTACAGTAAAGCAGGGCACTATACTCTGGCGTACAGTAAAGCAGGGCACTATACTCTGGCGTACAGTAAAGCAGGGCACTATACTCTGGCGTACAGTAAAGCAGGGCACTATACTCTGGCGTACAGTAAAGCAGGGCACTATACTCTGGCGTACAGTAAAGCAGGGCACTATACTCTGGCGTACAGTAAAGCAGGGCACTATACTCTGGCGTACAGTAAAGCAGGGCACTATACTCTGGCGTACAGTAAAGCAGGGCACTATACTCTGGCGTACAGTAAAGCAGGGCACTATACTCTGGCGTACAGTAAAGCAGGGCACTATACTCTGGCGTACAGTAAAGCAGGGCACTATACTCTGGCGTACAGTAAAGCAGGGCACTATACTCTGGCGTACAGTAAAGCAGGGCACTATACTCTGGCGTACAGTAAAGCAGGGCACTATACTCTGGCGTACAGTAAAGCAGGGCACTATACTCTGGCGTACAGTAAAGCAGGGCACTATACTCTGGCGTACAGTAAAGCAGGGCACTATACTCTGGCGTACAGTAAAGCAGGGCACTATACTCTGGCGTACAGTAAAGCAGGGCACTATACTCTGGCGTACAGTAAAGCAGGGCACTATACTCTGGCGTACAGTAAAGCAGGGCACTATACTCTGGCGTACAGTAAAGCAGGGCACTATACTCTGGCGTACAGTAAAGCAGGGCACTATACTCTGGCGTACAGTAAAGCAGGGCACTATACTCTGGCGTACAGTAAAGCAGGGCACTATACTCTGGCGTACAGTAAAGCAGGGCACTATACTCTGGCGTACAGTAAAGCAGGGCACTATACTCTGGCGTACAGTAAAGCAGGGCACTATACTCTGGCGTACAGTAAAGCAGGGCACTATACTCTGGCGTACAGTAAAGCAGGGCACTATACTCTGGCGTACAGTAAAGCAGGGCACTATACTCTGGCGTACAGTAAAGCAGGGCACTATACTCTGGCGTACAGTAAAGCAGGGCACTATACTCTGGCGTACAGTAAAGCAGGGCACTATACTCTGGCGTACAGTAAAGCAGGGCACTATACTCTGGCGTACAGTAAAGCAGGGCACTATACTCTGGCGTACAGTAAAGCAGGGCACTATACTCTGGCGTACAGTAAAGCAGGGCACTATACTCTGGCGTACAGTAAAGCAGGGCACTATACTCTGGCGTACAGTAAAGCAGGGCACTATACTCTGGCGTACAGTAAAGCAGGGCACTATACTCTGGCGTACAGTAAAGCAGGGCACTATACTCTGGCGTACAGTAAAGCAGGGCACTATACTCTGGCGTACAGTAAAGCAGGGCACTATACTCTGGCGTACAGTAAAGCAGGGCACTATACTCTGGCGTACAGTAAAGCAGGGCACTATACTCTGGCGTACAGTAAAGCAGGGCACTATACTCTGGCGTACAGTAAAGCAGGGCACTATACTCTGGCGTACAGTAAAGCAGGGCACTATACTCTGGCGTACAGTAAAGCAGGGCACTATACTCTGGCGTACAGTAAAGCAGGGCACTATACTCTGGCGTACAGTAAAGCAGGGCACTATACTCTGGCGTACAGTAAAGCAGGGCACTATACTCTGGCGTACAGTAAAGCAGGGCACTATACTCTGGCGTACAGTAAAGCAGGGCACTATACTCTGGCGTACAGTAAAGCAGGGCACTATACTCTGGCGTACAGTAAAGCAGGGCACTATACTCTGGCGTACAGTAAAGCAGGGCACTATACTCTGGCGTACAGTAAAGCAGGGCACTATACTCTGGCGTACAGTAAAGCAGGGCACTATACTCTGGCGTACAGTAAAGCAGGGCACTATACTCTGGCGTACAGTAAAGCAGGGCACTATACTCTGGCGTACAGTAAAGCAGGGCACTATACTCTGGCGTACAGTAAAGCAGGGCACTATACTCTGGCGTACAGTAAAGCAGGGCACTATACTCTGGCGTACAGTAAAGCAGGGCACTATACTCTGGCGTACAGTAAAGCAGGGCACTATACTCTGGCGTACAGTAAAGCAGGGCACTATACTCTGGCGTACAGTAAAGCAGGGCACTATACTCTGGCGTACAGTAAAGCAGGGCACAATACTCTGGTGCGCTACAGTAAAGCAGGGCACTATACTCTGGCGCGCTACAGTAAAGCAGGGCACTATACTCTGGTGTGCTACAGTAAAGTAGGGCACAATACTCTGGTGTGCTACAGTAAAGTAGGGCAGCGGTGTTACCTTGGGTCTGGGACTGGAAGCTCTGCAGCTCCTTCAGTAAGCAGCTTCGGTTCGCAGGGCTCAGGCCGTACACGAACTCCCGCGCCTGGTTGGGAAGCTCCAGCTGCTCCGGTTTGATCCTGCGCCGGTGCGTACCGAGAAGACGCCGGTGCAGCTGAGCCGGTCCGGTGCGGCGGGCCACGAGCGCGCGGAGCAGAGCCAGCCGGATCATTGCGGCACTGAAACACACTGCAGACCAGAATACTCGCGATTAAACATGAAGGAACGCCAACCCAGAGAGCGTTTGCAGAGTTCAGAACCGCGCCTGTCAAGCTCACACACACCGGCCTCACCGAACCAAAACAACCCGCACCCAGCGCCTTTAACAATCCGCGGCCGTCAGCCTTCTCATTCCTGCTGTAAGAAAGGCAGTTAATTCCTCTTGTGCGATTATTTAGGCGTTATGATTCATCGTTGTGTAATTACTGACAGTTCAAAAACGCCTGAAAGACGTTCCACACGCTTCTCCTCTGACGCGCACAGCGGTGACGTTGCATGACGGGAAATGTAGTCCTGCGCGGCAGATGCGTCATGGGAAACGTAGTCGGAAAAGCCCTTAGCTCGTCGATGACGAGGCTGGATTCAGAAAACTACGGAAGCCCATTTCCGCCACTTATTAAAAAATAAATGAATTGAATGAAAAGTCCAAATTATGTAATTCCAAGCTTAATTATGAGATAAAAAAATCCAAATTACAAGTTTGAAAGTGGAAATTATGACATAAAAGTTATAATTATTAGTTAAAAGTCAAAATTATGACTTTAAAAGTGGAAATTATGACTTTAAAAGTGGAAATTATGACATAAAAAGTTATAATTATGAGAAAAATCGAAATCACTAAAATTGGAATCACTAAATTTTGACATACCAAGTCAAAATTAGGACATAAAAATTTATATTAGATAAAAGTCAAAATTATGACAAAAAAAAAAAAAAAGAATAAATACTTTAAAAAAATACCGGAAACACTTTATTTTAAGGTGTCCTTGTTACATTTACTTACAATTATAATAACAATAAATTATGCATAATTACATGAAAGTAAAGTCGTTTTATTTTAAGAACATTCTGAGTCAAAATTATGAAAAAAAAACTTGTAGCAATAGGAGAATAAAGTCTTACATGAGATTAAACTTGAAATATTTTGAGAATAATGTCCAACCAATGAGAATAAAGTCGTAGCATTGCAAGATGAAGTTTTATTTGGATAATAAAATCTAAATTACGAGATTAACATCTTTTACAAGAGTAAAGTCGTAAAATTTGCAGAATAAAGTCAAAAGGACAAGAATTCAGTTGTAGCATTGTGAGATTCAAGTTGTAACATTTTGAGAATAATGTTTATATTTTAACATTTTTGACTTGATTCTCATAATCTTAATTTTTTGTATGTTTTACATGGCACTAAAACACTGTCATACTAAGTCATAATTATGAGAATAAAACAAATCAAAATGATTATATAATTTTGCCTTATCTGTGGGACGTCCGAACTGATTGCACTGTATTTTAAGTATAATCATTTTCTATTCTTAACTGTTTTAGATTCATTTTAAATCATTTTCAAAGTTTTTAAATTCCTTGCTTTATTGTTGTGATTATTTTTTATGATCATTTTACTTTCTTTTACGTAAAGCACTTTGAATTACCATTGTGTATGAAATGTGCTACATAAATAAACTTGCCTTGCCTCATAAATTTGACTTTTTGTCATAATTTTAACTTTTAAAGTCATAATTATTACTTTTTTTTTAATCATAATTTTCTCATGGTATGTCAACTTTGATTTTTAGAGTCTAACTTTTCATCTTGTAATTATGACTTACCAAAGCATGATTTTTTTTTCTTATGTGGCAGAAATGGGTCTCCATAATCAAACGGATGAGTGAACCGAATCATTAAAGATCTGAGGGTTGTTTTTTTTCTTCTGATGTTGTTAAGATCAAAATTCACTTTCTGTAGTGAGTGAACATTACTTTTCATGACAATATACAATTTACAACTGTCTTCACCCCAAATCAACAGAAAACAATAAAAATAAGCATATTTCGCATTTGTCTGTCTATTTTCAAGATCAGTAACACTCTATAAGCAATCATATTGTTTTACAGCATTTAATATCATCTGAATGTTACTGAATAAAAGTGATTGTTAACAGATACATTTAATTTAGAAACACAGCATTAATTTAACATTAACAAAGATTAATAAATGCTGTCTAAATATTGTTACTTTGTTTTAGCAAACACTAATTTAAGCAAAGACGCACACACTTTATTAAAATGAGTTAATTACATCCTCAAATTTGACCTCACTTGCTACAGAAAGTGAATTTTGAGCTTTATTAACAGCGGAGCATTCGTATAAAACACAGAATATTAAATATTAACCGACGTTACAGATTTCATGTTTACGGTCACTTCATTAGTTAAGACTTGTTAGATCGTTAAGGTGAACTAACAATGAACAATACATCTACAGTTGAAGATTTTATATTGTATATTAACATAAAAATGTCATCATTACCATCTGAGTATCAGTAAGACAGAATATTAAATGTATGCATGTATGTATATATATATATATATATATATATATATATATATAAAGCATTTGAAAGGCCTTTTTTTATTAAATTTTTTTTTCAGCAAAAAAATATCTAAATTCTTTTAAATTGAGCTAAATCATGTCCTTTACTAGGCATTTCCCACGTGATGATTTTTCAATTTACAGTGATGATTTAAATGAATTAAATAAACGTGATGTTGAAGGAATGAAAAGAAAAACCTGTGTGAAAACAAACCACAACAAAGAAGTTCAAAAAATATAATCAAGTGCAAAGTTCCAGATCACTCTGAACTTAGAACTTTAGCTTAATTGTTTTATTTACAAAAGAACTAAAGCAGATTATTTACTTACATCAGTTCTCTTGGCAAACCAGCCGTTTAACCGGAAATCAAACACGCATCTAATCGTGGAGTTACTGCATTCGACAACAACACAAGAAATCAGAAACACAAAATGCTGCGTTTTGGTGAAAAGTGATAAATGCATTGTAAAAAGCAACATCATGTGATGCTATCAGATACTGAGGAGGGTTGAAAAATGCTGCCGGAGAGCGTAATATGTCGCAGTCAAACTGAGATTAACAGCTGATTCAGCTTTCTCCAGTGGACAACTGTCAAACGTCAGTGTATCATTCTTTTATTACATGTACAATAATGTACACAATTATAAGAGAGGTCACACAAGAGACCAGTAGTGATCATATCGAGGTATACTGCGATTACAGTAGCACGCCACTCTTTATTAGGGCTGCAAAACGATTAGTCGCGATTAATCGATTCAAAATAAAAGTTATGTGTGTGTGTACTGTGTATATTTATTATGTATACGCACACATATACATGTATATATTTTTAAAGTATATACATTTATACTTGTATATAGTTTATATTATGTATAAATACAAATAGGCTATTTTATATATATAAGTCTAACATATTTTTCCTTAATATATACATGTACACTGTCGTTCAAAAGTTTAAGACTTGTAATGTTTTTAAAGAAGTGTCTTCTGCTCATCAAGGCTGCATTTATTTGATCAAAAATACAGAAAAAATCAGTAATCTTGCAAAATGTTATTACAATATAAAATAATGGTTTCTATTTTAATATCCTTTAAAATATAATTTATTTCTGTGATGCAAAGCTGAATTTCCATCATCATTACTCCAGTATAAAGTGTCACATGATCCTTCAGAAATCATTCTAATATGCTAATTTATTATTAGAATTATCAATGTTGTGCTGCACAATATTTTTTTTGGAAACTGCGATACTTTTTTTCAGGATTCTTTGATGAATAAAAAGTTAAAAAGAACAGCATTTATTCAAAATATAAATCTTTTCTAACAATATAAATCTTTGCTATCACTTCTTAACAATTTAACACATCCTTGCTAAATAAAAGTTAAAAAAAACCTTTTAAAAAAAAAAAGAAAGAATAAAAATTTACTGACCCCAAACTTTTGAACGTTAGTGTATATTGTCAGAAAAGATTTCTATTTTAAATAAATGCTCTTCTTTTGAACTTTTTATTCATCAAAGAATCCTGAAAAAAAATATCACAGCTTCCAAAAAAATATGAAGCAGCA